GTACACTACATACTCGTACCAAGTGAGTGGAACCGCGGGCAAGGACTAGACTTGAAATAAAATTCTTGCAAAATGTATTAGCTCTTTTTTTAATATTTCACCTGAAAGTTTTGAATAACGATAAATACTGAAATGTAAACCGGATTTTAGGCAAATGGGCGCCAAACCAAAAAATAACGAAGCGAGAATGCAGCAACGAAAGTTTACTTTCTAGGCCACTCTGCACCGGCAAGCTAATCACGCACTTTTATAATACAGGAGTTTTCTAATAGTATTCATATTCAATGTAAGCAAATTCATAATGACATTTTAAACAATTATTTCTCAAGCCCTTGTATTCTTACTATGGAGATTTTTATTATAACACTCAGATAAATATCTATTACTTAAGAAAATACTTCTTTGTACGGCCGTTATCGGCCTAACAAGGCAAATTAACTAAAAAAGGTGTTACTTAAGCAATCAAAATTATAACATACTTTATTTAATTTATTGTATGAAGATGTCAGCTCTACTTTTTTTATTTCATAGTAAACTAAAATCATATGTTTTTCTGAAATTAGTAGTAATGTACTAAATGAAAAACGGAAATTTTATGGTTATAAATTCACAACTTTAGTAATTTGAATATTTACCAATATTCTTGAACTTTACATGGGGGATAATAACTGTCTCTGTTTTTATATTTATATTTTATAGATCTGAAATGTACGTTTTGAATGATCAATATACACATTCGAAATAAAATATGATTCAAAAATTTGCTCATTGTATCGAAGGTCATCATAATATTGTCCTTAATAAACAATATTCATTATTTATCACTTATTCTTTTCAGTCAACACACAATATGTGACATACATTTCAATAACCTCAAGTACGAGTACCTAAATATCAGGACTGGTTAGATATAATAGAAAGTTTTTTTATTGGAAAACATTTTAAAAGAATGTCTTTTGCAAGATAGGGAGCAGGTCAACCTGGGTATATAAATAATAGAGTGGAAAAGGTGAAATTTAGCGGAGCGAGAAATCGACGGGATGCAATGTTTATTGTAACGAGTCCACGATGAAGCGTGCGCGCAAGAGAAACTGAAAGTAATGGCGCCGCATTCAACCCACTTTCACTGCTCTGCAACACGACTGCGCGAGCACTGTCTCGCGCCGCCGCACGTCCACAACCCAACTATACTAACATACAGGCTACACGGCTTCTTTGAATGTCTATTCTATTATACCATGATATTTTATTTGTATATGTATAATTTTTTTTAAATAATTTAATAAAGTAAATATTTATATAAGCGTCGTCGTAGTACTTACATAAATATTTATTAGAAAGCTTAGTAAGAGTTATATAGCAAAGCTAATTTATAAAACCGTTTAAAGTTAATTGTTTTGAGGGGCCAGATTTTAAACTGACGGACATAGGTCAACGATAATATAAATGTATTATTTTTAAATTATATTTGTACACTTTACTACTATAAGTTCATATAATGAAGATTTTATGATATGATTTTACTTGATCATAGACCCTAACCTATGATCAAGTCTAATTAAATGATCCTAAGCACATTCCATATAATATACGTTAACCATATTTACAAAAAAGAAAATTACAAAAATGACAAAATTGACCTTAACCTAAATTTTCATAAAGTTGGGTAATGTTGAGACTATCCTTGGGTAATGTTAAGGCTATCATATTATTGTTCACAAAATCCAAGCCAAAAACTAAAATTAAAATTTCATTACTTCTATATAAAATTTCTCATAAGATATCAACTCAACATACTTTTGTACAGCTGGACAAATTCTCATCAAATATAGCTAAGACCTATAAGCCACCTTCAAATTAAAATGTTCAATCTGTTTGGATTTATGGCACAAAGACATAGATACATACACGCATAGAGAAAACAAACACCACACACACAACACAATAGACATCAACCCTCTTTTGACTTCAAGAATAAAAAAATGTTTTCATATCGCTACTTTTTTTAGTCTATAATTATAATAAAATTGTAAGTTAGCCGAATCTGTACATTAAATATTTTTTGAAAAACACTTGAGGGATTTTGAGGAAATTTGGTATGGTGATAGCTGGTTATCCGGGTCAACATATAGGATACTTTTTACCCTGGGAAAATATCTTATTTCTGAGAAAAAATACAAAAACTGCAATGTAAAAGTATACTAATATGTAAAACCTAAGAATTTGGTTTTTGATCATCTGAACGCAAGCAGAGCCGCGGGCAATGCTAGTACTTAATAATTTTTTTTTTCACAACATCGTAACCTAGATACGTAAATATTTCAATTTCTAAATAAATACTTCTGTTTTGTTTATATGTATAGTAGAAAGAAAGAGAAATTTGCTTTAATAGTATTGAAAGTAGTTTTCTATAGATAAGTTCAATGTGAAATTTCTCCAGCGCACAATCCGAAACTAACAAAATAGCGTTGATATTTTCCTAGACCTTTGTATATCTTTTTGTTTACATATTATTTCTATTATTCATATTTTATACATAACTCTTCGTATTGGAATATGTTGTTCTCATATTCATGAAAAATTAAAAGAAGAAAACGAAAATAACTGAAGGTATGACAGCTTTTACAAAATAAAGCTCTAGCGAATAAATATGACGTCATAAAATCTACATAAGCTTTGCGAACATATTCTACGAATTATCCATCAGATAAAATTCAAATTCTGTTTGAGTTAAGTGAAACCTAAGTTATTTGCTTGCTATAGCAATTATACGAGTACGAGTAGGTACATAACGAAACTTGAAAATGTTAATACTTTCTTAGATTTACGGGAAATTTTCGAATGCTTTACATCAATCATGGTCACTGGAGAGACTAAGGTATTAGACATCTCAAAGGCGTTTTATACTTGTTACAGACAGTGCCTACCCACAATTTTACAAAAATGATTTCAAACATTCAAAAATGGCGCCAGAGTACCTAACTTAAAGTACTATTTCTTGATTTTAATTCTAAACATTTAAAAATTTTAAATAAGTATTACAATTAAATACTTGTTTTTATTTATTTTATTTATTCAAATTTAGCTGTTATTATTATAAAGTACCTGGGCCACCGAGCTTCGCTCGGAGTTTTTGGTCAAAAGCTTGAATAAATACGAAAAAAAAAACAAATGTAAAAACTGTATCCGACCCCCACGTATAAATCGAAAAAAAACGATCCTAGGGAAAAATTGATGACAATTAAATTGTAGGAAATTAAATTTCACAACAACAACAAACAACTTTTGTAATAACTATTTCTCGTATAAAATTGAAAATAAACGAGTTTTTAATAAATAAAAATCAACACTTAAATACAAGATGGCAGATAACGCAACGGGTCTGGTACCCCGAGAATTTAAATTTAGACTGCCAATGCAATTTTTCGAATTTTTACCCGAGGTCCCTACCGCGGGGCTACAAAAACGGAATTATAGTTTCGTCAAATTTTTGTCAGTCGTCTAGCGACACAGCGAGGTTTTGCTACAAATAAATAACTAAATAAATACCCTATTTAGACATAAAACTCGTAAAAACACAAAACGATGTCTGTAAAGCAGTGCAACTGCCGGAAGGAAAACCACTAAGCCTATATTGAGACCTAGTCTCCCAGGCTAATTTTTGAGCCGAATTTATGAAGGTTTCTAAAAGAGGTTTTCAATTCAGCTCTATTTTTTTATTTTTGTATGTACATATTTTCTTCTACTGTGAACTGACATTGAAATGTAAATTTTGATGAAATTTGGTATTGTGACAGCTAGTTATCCGGGTTAACATATAGGATAATATGTTGACCCGGATAACCAGCTATATAATACCGCAGAAAAATGTCTCATTTCTAAGAAAAAATACAAAAACTGCAATGTAAGAGTATACTAATATGTATAACCTAAGAATTTGGTTTTTGTCCACCTGAACGCGGGCGGAGCCGCGGGTAATGCTAGTATGTATATAAACATACGAATTTTATTTTTTTAATGAGATTAAGTTTCGTTTGAATCGTAGTTATTATTTTATCAGAAGTACCTGCGACAACAAAAACCTCACTTAGATTAATTACCTAAAGCAATAATTATCAATTAAAATAAATAGTTCTATTAATAATATTTTTATGAACTTGGTAAATATAAAGGACGCAAATAGAAAAATATATTTAGTAAACATTTCTCGAACAAAAACGCCCGCATATATGTTTACTAGCATTGCCCGCAGCTTCGCCCGCGTTCAGATGTCCAAAAATTAGTATACTCTTACAATGCAGTTTTTGTATTTTTTCTCAGAAATTAGATATTTTCCCGCGGTAAAAAGTATCCTCTATGTTGACCCGGATAACCAGCTATCATCATACCAAATTTCATCAAAATCTGTCCAGTGGTTTTCTCGTGATGCGGTAACAGATAGACAGACAGACAGACAAAAATTCTAAAAACTATAGATTCAGACTTTGTATCGATAATAATGTCTATATCAATTAGATTTTCCAAAAAATATTTAATGTACAGATTCGACTTAGATACAATTTTATTATATGTATAGATATGTGAGTTTGTTAATTAAAAACAAGAATGTTTTCTAATATAAAATTATAGGATAAAATATTCTATTTCAGTACAAAATTCAAGTAAAACCGGATTAATTAATTAGTATAATTAAAAGTGTTTATAAAACAATCAATAAGTACCTATAGATAACTTGTATACAAATTGTATACATGTTACAATAAATACACGTTATTGTAGACAGTGATATAGAAATATTTAAAAGTAACACACTTTTATACATACTAACATACTGAAATATTTGGATAATTTTAGTAAAAATCCATTTGCTTTCAAATCCCTTTTTATTTCTAAATCAATATTGACAACTATCAAAATATTGAAGTGTTCTATATTCGAACACATATATTACATTCCTCCAACACTAATTAAGATGTAAATTAAATAATTAAATAAGGCTACTCCTTATAATTTATAGTTTTTCTACTTGTTCTAATTGGATAACGTCGATTATCCTGAGATTGCGTATTACCGACTGGTTCATGCACATCAGGTGGATCTACGTCAAAAAATTCATCATCGGAAATTTCATTATTTAAGTCCGGTGTCACCTTCGCATCACCAACCTCTTTATCTGTGCCACAGGACGCGGTATCTTTTGTTTCTAAAATATGATTTTCATTTACGTAATCTCCAATGGAACTTATATCGTTATCCGATGATGAACTTCCTTTATACATCCATAATTGGTCGACATGCTTTTTTGTAAAAAGGTTAAACTCCGGTATGTAAACTTTAAACATACGAGAACCGATACAACTATTAATAACACCTACTTTCCATGTGCTATATTGCTTATTGCCAATAGAATAATAATGTTTTACAAGTACCTTATCACCAACTACAAATTTTACATTTCTTTTACCTTTAAATTGCTTACTTTGATGCATCTGAGCATTACTAACATTATCTCTAGCAACAGAAGACGAAGGAAAACAAACATGTAGTTTTGTACAATCACGAATTAAATCCAGTCGACAACGTAGAGGTCGTCCAAACATTAATTGAGCAGGCGAAAATCCAGTTGTTAAATTTACAGAATTCCTATAATCGAATAAAAACTTATGCATTTTAATCATTAAGTTACTGAAACTCATATCATTTGTTACAATGGCCTTTAAGCCGCTCTTAATTGTTTTGACGCTTACCTCCGCTTGTCCATTTGACTGGGGGTGGTAAGGAGGACTAGTTAAATGCTCAATACCATTTAATCGACAAAAAACCTCAAAATCATTAGAACAAAAATTCGTAGCATTATCAGTTACTAAAGTCCGTACTAATCCAAATCTGCTAAACATTTCACTTATATTACTAATAACTGACTCAGTATCAATCTTTTTCATATAAAAACATTCTAACCACTTAGAAAATGCATCAACTGCGATCAAAAATTGTTTTCCATTAAATAAGAATACATCTAAATGAACACGTTCCCAAGGGCCTTTAGGATAAGGCCAAGATGCAAGTGGCGCATGTGGAGGGTTACTTCTATGCGAGTTGCAAACCTTACAAGAACCAATATTTTCTTCAATATTTCTGTCAATATTTGGCCACCACATACGCGATCTTGCCTCTGACTTTGTTTTAACTACACCAAAGTGTGATCTATGTAGTTCGTCTAAAAGTTTCTGTCGCAAGCTTGTAGGAATTACTACTTTATATCCGCGTAATATACATCCATTTTCAAATGAGAGTTCATTTCTACACAAAAAGAAAGGCTTTAAACTGGGGTCTAATACCTTACGAGGCCATCCTTCATTGATCATTTTAATTACTTTTGTAAAACCACATCCTGCTTAGTTTCGTTTCTAATATCATTAACAGTAATGGGCGGTAAAACAACTTCACCGATAAAATCTATATATAAGGAATGATCAATACTGACAGATTCATCTGGTTTATCTGTAACCGTAGCACGCGACAAAAAATCAGCAATATTATCATCGCTCTTAACATATTCAATATTAAAATTATACGCCGACAAAAATAGAGCATATCTTTGTAATCTGTTTGCTGCTAAAATTGGAACACCTTTTTTATTTCCAAGAATAGCTACAAGAGGTTTATGGTCCGTACGTAAAACAAACGGCTCCGAACGCCCGTATAAATAATGGTTAAATTTTTTTACTGCAAATACAATTGAAGTGGCTTCTTCTGAATTTGAGCATAATTAATCTCAGCTTTAGTCAAAGAACGTGAAGCATATGCTATAACTCGCTCACAACCATTTGATTGACATTGTGATAGCACTGCTCCTAAGCCAGTGGGACTTGCGTCACAAGTCACTATGGTGGTGGATTTAGGATTATAATGAGCTAACACGCGTTCTGAGGCTAATTCATATTTAATTTTATTAAACGCTTCATTTTGATCTTTACCCCAAACCCATCGTACACCTTTCTTTAGCAGTGAATTAAGAGGGTATAGCACAGAAGAAGTATTTGGCACAAAACATCGATAGTAATTGACTAAACCTAAAAACGATTTTAGCTCACTTACATTTTTTGGAGCCTCACATTTTAATATAGCCTCGACTTTAGTTTTTGACTTGTGCAACCCATCTTTATCTATAATATAACCAAGGTACTCTATTGAACTCTTGAAAAATTCACATTTCTCTGGTTTTAATCTTAAACCTGCTTCTTGCAATCGATCTAAAACCAATTCTAATCGTTGTAAATGAGCCTCTTTCGTTGCAGCTGTAATTAAAATATCATCTAAATAAATACAAACGCCATCAATATCACCCAATAACTGTTCCATTGTACGTTGAAAAATAAATGGGGCGTTTGCCAAACCAAAAACTAGTCTATTATAACAATACAAACCCCTGTGGGTATTAATACAAGTATACCTTTTTGATTCATCTAACTCAAGTTGTAAGTAAGCTCTTGAGAGGTCTAACTTACTAAACTCTAAGCCTCCGTGAAGTTTAGCGAATAAATCTTCAATACGTGGTATTGTAAAATTATCTAAATATATGACTTTATTTAATGTGACTGAAAAATCACCGCAAATTCTAACATTGCCATCCGGCCGTAATACCGGAACAATAGGGGTAGCTATATCCGAATGGTCTACTTTCTCAATAATACCTAATTCAAGTAAATTATCTAATTCCTTTTCTATTTTAGGTTTCAATGCTAAAGGTACCGGTCGAGCTTTAAAAAATTTCAGTTCCGCCTCAGGCTTTATTTTTAAAGTTACCTTATATTTGTTAAATCTACCTAATTCTTTACTAAATAACAAAGCATATTTCCCATTAAATAAATTATTTTCAATGCTATTTATATCCTTCTTTTTGCAGTCATGATTACAAAGATGTAGATCGAATAATCTCATGAAATCACGACCTAAAAGAGGCAAGCGCTTTTCATTAGACGTTAAAACATAAAACTTTAGTGGATTAGTACGGCCTTCATATGTTACTTCAGGCAACACTACAAATCCTATTGGGGATATTTTCATTCCCGTATAAAAATTAAAAATTTCATTACACATTTGCAAACGATAACTATTATTATGACTATTTTTAAATAATTCATTATATATTGCGGTTGGTAAAATAGAGACAGAACTACCGCAATCAATTTCACACAATACTTTTAAGTTGCTTACCCATATATAACATGTAATTGGTTCATCTTTTATACATTTCTGTAAATTAAATAAATTAAAATTATTAACACCATCTCCATCGTCATTAGTACCTAAAAAGTTATTTCTATTGATTTTTATTTGACACATTTTCTTTAAATGTCCTTTCTTATTACAATTCTGACATGTGTAATTTATGAATCTGCAATTTTCTTTTAAATGATTTTTATAACCACACACATCACATTGCCGTTGGGTAGCAGTACTATTATCACTGTTTCTCGCTTGCCGACGTTGCAAAGCGAAAACTGGCTGACTTTGCATCATAGATTGATCTCGATCATGATGTTGGGTAGACTGTATTGCTTGTCGTGCGCATCGTACGCTTTGGGCTAGCTCTAATGCCTTATCAAAAGTTAACAGTTCTATGCTTTCAGCAAATAATTTTTCTTTCTCTTTTATATTTTCCAATCCTAATACAAATCTGTCACGTAAAGCATTTTCCAATTCTAGTTTGAAACCACAGAATTGCGACAATCTACGTACCCGTGCTGCCCACTCTACTAAATCCTCACCTGGATGTTGTTCCGCCTTATAAAACGTGTATCGTTCGGCAAAGGTACATTTCTTTGCAGAAAAATGATTATTTAATTTTTCTATTAGTTGCTTGAATGGAATTATATCCAAATCATCCGGAAAAACTAAATCTTTTACGATGCGGTAGGTATTCTCAGCTAGAGATGTCAGCAAAATGGCCCGTCGTCTCACACCAGTTTTGTCAGTCTCATCATGTACATTATTTGCTACACAATATTGTATGAATCGACTTTTAAAAATGCTCCAATCTTGTATATGATGGTCAAAAAAAACATTACCACCAAACGTTGAACCGATATTACATTCTGCCATTATTTATTCTTTGTTTAGTCACCAAATTATGCTAAACACAATAAATCAATCCTCGTGAATTCGATAATCCTCGTCGCCAATGAAATATTTGGATAATTTTAGTAAAAATCCATTTGCTTTCAAATCCCTTTTTATTTCTAAATCAATATTGACAACTATCAAAATATTGAAGTGTTCTATATTCGAACACATATATTACACATACAGACACACAACATAGACTCGAAAAATATTTTCCTTCTTTTTTTGTCGGACGTGACGCAAACAAAAGAATGTATGCTAACACGAAGATTAAGATAAATATTATGGTCGCGTTCTTAACACTTTTTCGTCTCCATTTACATAAATTTGGGTTAATTAATAAAACTTTTTAAAGTATTTAAATTAAATGTTCCATTAATTTATCTATGTATAACATTAATAAGCTTATCTATAGAAATCATGATTATTTGTGTTCTTTTATTCATTCATTTTAACATTAAAAAAAATACCGACTTCAAAAAAACACTAAAAAGTAAGAAATAACTATTTGGTAGTTATCATTTACTACAGTTACTTATTCAGATATTTTCGAAGTCGGTGCCAGCCGATACAAATTAAATCACCCGACTTCAAAAATATCTGTTTAGGTATCAGTTATTTTTTACTTTTTAGTTTTATTTTTATTAGTTTTTCTTAAGTTTTTATTCTTCCATTTTTAGTGCAGACATAGTAGTAGCAAAGTAAGAAGAATGTATTTTAAAAATTCAGTAGGTAAAAATCAATCATGCTTTATTTTCTACACTTAGGGGTGGATTTTTATTTAAATTTAAATGGGGCCAACTTTGAGATTACCCTATCCAATAAAAAAGAATTGTCTGTAAAAAGTTATGCGTGGTCAAACATAAAACAAAAAAATACGTGTCGACTTGAGAACCTCTTCCTGTTTTTGTCGGTTAGAAAAAAATCATATTTAAATAAGTATTAACTTTAAAAATGTTATGCGATACAAATAGTTTTTCAACTATACTTTTTTTTAATTTTAAATCAAACAATGCAAAGAATAAAAACTATAGTTAAAACTTGATTAAAACTATCAAGTATAACGTAACACTAACAGACGTAATGATGCGCGTGCAATTCCACAGGTTTTATGAACTACCGTTAATAAAGTAATTGTTTTTGAGTACCATAGCATAAAACAGGTGAAGTAAGTGCAGTACCCAATGGTCAACGAACGTGGAGTGCAAGGTGCGCGTTGTACAGGCGAGCAGGCGCACAGTCGAGGCGCGACGGTGTCAGGCAGTGTCGCTGAACCCGCACGAGTCAAGGGCCTCGGTCGACGACCGCCCGCGGCCTGTGTTTCGCCCGCATAATACACAAACGGACAGCCCACTTTACTTGCAATCAGCCCAACTGCATTAACTAACACCTTTCCGGTGTTTACCAACATCTTTTTTATTTATGTATATGAGTTGCTTATTAACTTTAACAATGTATTCCTGTTGATATGTTGTGTTATTTAGAATATTTCCTTATTAACTCGGAAATCGATTAGAACTTAGAAAAATAAATTGTTTTATTTTTCAAGAATCATCAATAAAATAGAAAATATTAAAAAATGTATTAGAAATGTGTAAAACTTACGTATAGCCGATTACATCTACGTTCTTCTAATGATTAATGATCCATTAAAAAATTCTTGAAGTTTCAATTACAACATACTTAATATAAACAGCGGTATGCGTGTCAACGCCCTCGATATACAAGTAATAGGCGTATGAATTGCAACAATTTCATTGAAAAAAAAAACAATAATCGCCCATATACATGGGTTTCATACCTACAAGCTGCAGGTTGTCATGGTCGGTCATCGAACCGACTACAATATACATAACGTGTCATTCCCCTTACATATCTCGTAAAAATTATGAAGTAAGTATAACATAACTGCATCATTCATACTGTATTTGAGAAAAATATAATACAGATGAAAAGTTAAGGATAATTTTAAATATTTACTTAAAAGAATTTTTACTTTTCGATTTATTATTAAGCATGTCATGTTTGTTAGCATGCTGTATATTAAAAATCTATACATATAATAAAATTGTAACTAAGCCGAATCTGTACATTAAATATTTTTTGGAAAATCTTATTGAAATAAATATTATTATCGATACAGAGGCCGAATCTACAGTTTTTAGAATTTTTGTCTGTCTGTCTAACATATAGGATACTTTTTACCGCGGGAAAATGTCTTATTTCTAAGAAAAAATACAAAAACTGCAATGTAAGAGTATACTAATATGTAAAACCTAAGTTTTTGGTTTTCAGTCATTTGAACGCGGGCGGAGCCGCGGGCAATGCTAGTTTAAATATAAAACTCAAATGTAATTATTAACAGGCTGTTGCTTTTCGTACTTAAAATAAGGATGAATAAAAAATATATTAATAGTCCGACTATTGTCCGGTTTGTACGAATATTCACCACTTTTTTGTTTTCTAATGTAAAATGAGTGATTTTTAGGCGCGGGAGTTCCCATATGTAAAAAATATAACCTTAACCTACCGAGCTGGAAACTTATTCTTTTAAATTCCAACGATTTTTAAGTTTTAGAATTTTTAAGGTAAAAAATTATTTTAAAGTGTAGAAGTTTCTGTATGCAAAGAAAAAACTACTTATTCTACTTATTTATTAGTCTATTTGTCCTTTCTTATATATCACTACATATTATAAAACAAAGTCCTCCGCCGAGTCTGTCTGTCTGTTCGTGATAAACTCAAAAACTACTGCACCGATTTTCATGCTGTTGTCACCTATGGATATAGTGGTTCTCCAGGAAGGTTTTAGTATATAATTTGTTAAGTTTTTGTGGACATAGGCTAAAATACAAGGATATTTGTAGGTGTCGGAAAAAAAATAAGCGATCTGGAAGCTTTCAACGAAAACGCTGCCTAAACTCTTTGAGATATAACAAAATAATGTTTGGAGAAATTATGTATCTTATATAGGTCTACAGAAAAGTCCACGATGGCATATGTCTATCTCTTAAGGATTACATACTACATCCATTTTAATTTAAAATATACCTAGGGAAGAACCCGAGCGAACAGAGGGCTAAACTAACTAAATTTAATGTATAATTTATTAAATTTTATATAATTTTAAGAAGATTTCTCTTGACATATTTGTTTTATTTTAATACCGCTCACAATGAAACAAATACCATTACATGGCCTGTGTATGTACGAAAATAAACATAAAACAAGAACTGTAGTAGTCAAGCACTAGCGCCAAGTTATAAGAATAATCTCGATTACATTTATTTTACCCTAATTTAAGAAAAGCATCTTTTGAAAATAACCTTTAAAAGATATATCGAAACATTAACAAAATGGAGAAAGGCCAATGAAGGTACACGTCAGCAATTAATCGTAAGTTTTATTGTCGTATACATTCGTATAACGTGTGGAAGGTATTCGTAATAAAAACGACAAACTGAGACCGTTTTGACGCTAACCAATAATCCATTTCGGGTAACGACCGTTCGGTGAGAGGTTGATCTTCGTTCACCTGCGTCTAACTGTCAGTAAGATACGATAGAGCTTTGTTTTGCGACGGCTGCTCATCTCGCTCGTGTTCCGCAGTTATGACCGTGAACGTGGTCGCTCACCCGCTCCTCGCACACTAAACTTAAAAGCTTTATTGGGCGGGGGCGGCCAACTGTCCACAAGATTTGTGTAACGTTCCCGCAGACATAATACATCTTACTACTCGATGAGAGTCTTGACCCAGCGTAAGAAAACGAATATTATTATGTATATTAACATTATATTTTTAACATTATCAGCATATCTTTTCACGTATTAATAATACAAAACAAGCACTTCATTTGAAAGACAATAAAATCAAGTATTTTTCGTATACTTATACGATTAAGTAAAATCGGTATGTAATGTGTTAAAAGTTACAAAAATCCATGCATTAATTACCGACGCAAAGGAAAATACTTACACGTGGAAATCAAACCTGCAACCGTTGCGTCAAACACCGTTCAAGGTAACAACTATAATACATAGTCGGATAATATCGGAATAAGTGTATTTTCCGTGCCTTCATAAAGGTATGAGGAAAATTAATACATATATGGTTTTCCCATTACAGTTATTTTTTAACCAATAGCTCAAACCTATGTAAATATATTTTTATTTCTAATATTAGTTGTCGTAAACCATAAAATGTAAATAAATCCAATAGTATGTATATAATGGATTTTATAAATGTAATAGTATTTAATAATTCAATATATACATTTCTTTGCCTTTATAATATTATTATTAAATTACTTTGCCTAACTTATACAGTTTAGAGCAATAACCTTTTCTAAAGAGATTCGAGGCTAACCAGGTTATCGTTCTATGTTTTTAATTATGCTTTCGAATAGCACGAAAATTTATACTAATTTTAAACTTATCTATATTTTAATTTATTTATAGTAAATAGTAAGTAGCTACAATCTACACATTTTGAAAAAAAAAACTTAAAAGGCATTTTTATGATATTCTTGAATCTTAAATATGTATACAGATTCAAAACTTTCAAAGTCGTTTTCTGAAAAATTAGAATTTTTTACTTATCACGTTCTTGTCGCATATGAATTATGAACGATAATATGTTCTTGTCGAGTTTTCTCTAGACCTTTTTAAACCTACAAGTTTCTAGTATATATAGTGTTGATATATTCTTAAGGTTTAGCCAGCGTTAGCCATATAAACTAAGAATGGCTCGACAGAATCAATTATTGTGTTTTTTCGGGGGAATGAAAGATTTTCCTGTAGTCAAAGGTATTCTAAATGTTGACTCGAGTAAAAGTTATCACTACACGAAATATAATTAAAATCGGTTCAGTAGGTACTTTTTGCGTGAAATGCACACAGATATACAAACAAGATTCCAGATTTCGTTAAGTTACTACATATTTTATTATATGTATGTTTACATATGTGATTGTTTAAATTTATAAAGAACACTCATATATTTTAAATATTGTCAGAAGACGTCCGTGGACCGTGAGTAGTGTAGGTAATAAGATGTTAGATATTTATATTAATATCGATATGTTTCTGGAATGGAATGGCCTGGAAGAGTACAGAGGGGGGAGGAACGTGGTGTTTGAGTGGAACGTCTCTCGTGACCTTGCGAGGGCGAGGTCACCCACGCGCCCTGCAACTACCTGCTCAGTGCTCGCGGACGTCACTAACCGTCATATCTAGGTAGATATTTATAATATTTTGTAGGTACAAATACTCAAAATCTATTTCCAAATATAATAAATAACTATTTACATATATTATGTTTCTTTTCTTTTCTATTATATCTAACATTCTTAATTGTTTTTAATTAGTGACTCTTCTTATTATGATTTTTGGCATATAGTCAAATGATTAAAATGTATACTACTACAATAAATATCATGTTTTAAGGGAACTTTGACATTTAAAGTTTATCTATCACATACATAGGAAGTAGATAACTCCACTCTCGTGGAGGGCGAGGGAACACCGATCAATTGACCTTTACCCAGGATCCGAGGTTAGGCTAACACTTATCTATACCTAGCTACTTTATTTTAAATACAAAATAATATTTTATATTTTGTCAGGATCTTTGAACATGAATTTATTACCTAGCTAGTACTGTATTAAAAGACAATGTCATAAAAAGAAAATATTGATTTATATCATTCCAATAATATGTATCGTATGAAACTTTCCCTCCATGACATTTACAATACTTCAAAGGCAATGTGACTGGGTCATAAAAATGGTAGGTAAATAGAGCAAGCATTTACATTCAATAAAGTACATTGGGTGCGGAGCGCGGGCGTCGGGCTCGGGTGACGGGCACAGCTCGGGTCGGGGCGATGACGGCTGCGGCCTTGGCCGTGATCGCGCGCTCGATATAGCGCCAACCGCCTCAATCCGCCTAACCGACACCCTCCCGCCCCCACCCTTCATTTCCCACTCACACCCAACGTTCTAAATTTCTGATGCTCTCTGGCTATTTTTGTAATAATAAAGGTATCTAACGCCACCTATCGAACAATAAATTACATGACAAATAACTAGTAGGCATAATATACCAGCGAAGTAAATATGACTTCATGAAAAAAGGCGAATATAGGTTTGATGTTTTAGAATAAGTAATGTACGTTGTACATACTTAAGTAATTCATAATTTATATTATGAAGGAATCGTTCGTATGTTTAAGAGGGGTCAAGCGTATATATATGTGTGCATATTAATATACTCAAAATCATTTAGTAGGCAGACAACGTAGTTGGAACGAATCAGAATAAAACACCAAGGTCGAACAGAATGATATCATTTATGGCGCGCCTGTCCCTGAACTCTAGCCGTTAGGCGCGAGTGACGCACGAGGACTCAAATACCACCGACCCTGAACTTATATAAAAATACAACTTTGGTAATATCATGTGCCTACGTTCAATATGATTGCAGGTCATCTAGATTATTTTACTAAACACACAATAGTACCTACTGGCTACTATAATGTTATTATTATAGAAGAAAAATTTCTTTTGAATTTTAAGTGGTTGATAAAGGTACTTTTAAGCTAAGTTATTAAAAAGGCGTGAGCCGTCCATTCAAAACATTAATTACAAATACCTAATCTCTTTCTAAAATATAATGCAAATTCATTTGGGTATGTACGATTACTTAGTGAACTAAAAACCAAGACCATATGTAAAGCATTTTAATAACAATGCATTTATTGTTTACAAACAACACATTCCTAGTTACTTATTTAGCTTTTTTTCCTTTTTGCTTAGACCTTGCGTTCGTCTTCGCTTTCTTGCCGCGGCCTTTAGTTTTTTCTTTAGCCTTTTGCGCGCGCAAATCCTTCTTCATTCGCGGATCAACCACCTTGTAGTGTCCCTTCACGCCAGCGGGTCGTTTCATTTTTTTAGCTGTTGTATGTTTTTTCGCGACTACGTATGTTAGTTTCTTTTTGCCGTCCGATTGGGCTTTCTTATAAAGATGCCTTACTTGTTGAGCTTTCTCCCGTTCAGACATATCCGCGTTTTCCATCACGGCTTCGACCTTCTTCTTAGCGCGCTCCATCTTTTTAATCATGCGCTTCTTCTTTCTAGCCTTGGCTTCAATTACTTTCTTTATCGGCCTCGAGTTAATATCTTGTAATCGATTCTTATATTCTTCAGTGTATTTCTGTAATAAAATTTACTCGATTGATTCACGTTGTCTCAGTCTATTAAAAATGTTAATGGAACAATACTATTTGGAAGGAATCTTACGTGCATACATAGTTTTAATGTTTTGTCAACTGTAATTTTAATAAAATGTTAATGACACTTTTTTTTTGTTATATTAAATATTTTTGAAAGAACTTTGTAATTTTCTGTCTGTTGTATCTCTTGAGCGTTTTATGTAAGTATTTAAGAACGGCCAGTCAGATTGCAATAGGTTTTTTTTCCATCAGGTCTGAATTGAATTAAAAATAGCTTTGCCACTTGACCGATTGAAATGAAGTTAAGGATACAGCTTTAGCCCTCTTTAGAGTACTCCTATATGATTATACGTAGTAAGGGGTCTCCTATGTGTATGTAAAAGTCCAATGAGATAACTAAAATTCTAAAAACTATTGATGCAACTGATTACACCTGAAACCGGAAAATCTGAATTGATTACCTTCTTTAAAGTTGGTCAAAAATGTATTTTGATTCTCTTTTGGAAAATTCTCAAAGCAGCCCCAAATATTATAAGTAACTAAATTGGTCGAGATACACTCCCTCACAGAAAACCCAATCGTCCAGCATCTCATCTTTCAGATTGCGAGGCTACTGTGAGAGTTAAACTATAGGAAATGTGTACTAATATTTGGGACTTATACTAAATAATTAATCACCACAGTCCCGTGCAGAGGGCTTGCGCGGAAAGCATATAAGGGAGCATTAACTAATAAGAACTATAAGCATGATGAAAGTCTGTCTAAATTTCTATTTTCTAAACCTTGCTGTGATTCTGTTCTATTACAAAGTTAAATATTTTAAAGTGTCGTTACACCAATGAGTCTGTCAGTAAAAAAAAATAATATTACTAGCAGAACCCACGGCTTTGCTCGCGCTAAAACTACAAAAAATATCTATAAGTTCTTCATACAAAGTTTCATCCCGAATTTTACCCTCTTATAGGATGAATTTCGAAAAAAGCTAAAACAAGTATTTATTTAATTTAGTTGAAGATCATTAATACCAAGTTTTAAGTAATTCTGATCATAAATATTTTTTTGGATTGTATTATAACATGTTTTGCCGTGGGGATTAGATAATCTCCCGCGGTAAAAAGTAGACTATATCACTCTCCAGCCCTCTAACTATCTCCATACAAAAAAACACGCCAATCCGTCACTCCGCTTCGACGTGAAAAAAGGACAAGCAAACAAACAAACACACTTTCACATTTATAATATTAGTATGGATGCTATTAGGATTTTTTTACAAAACGCAATACAAACCTCAGGTACTGCAATTTCTTTTTTCATATGTTTCTTTTCATCTTCAACAAACCAATCTGGTAAATTTTTGTCGTTAAACGCGTATCGATTCCAGCCGTCATCCAATAGATCACGTTTGAATTTTTTAGACGTAGCCAGCATTGTGCCTAAGGCAAGAGTCTCTGCATCCATTTTTAAATTTTTCTTGAGCCTTTTTAATTCTAAAATAAGAAACAAAAAATAAAGAAAGTAATCAAACAATGTAATATTTATATTATCTAAACAAAGTCGTCTGCGTCTATCTGTTTCTCCGCTTACTCCTTCTATACTACGCAACGTATTTTAATACGGTTTTCACTAATAGTCTACCTATTTTTTTATATAAAACGTACCTAGGCACGCACACGAGCGAAGGGAGGGCAAGTCGCTAATATTCCCATAAATACATAAATATTTTTACGCTCCACATACTACTATTCCGTTTCACCCCGATCTTCCGTTTTATAACGTTTTTATCATTTTTTTTTCAAATTATGTACTTTTTTATTTTTACATCAAACTACGCCACTATCGATATATCAAATAACATAAAACAGGAAGAGAGGATGCAATATCACATCTTCAATCATCACCAATCTCCACTTTCTAAACATGTTCATGTCTTTATTGTACTAGATTCTAGAACACTAAAATCATTAACGCTTCTATAAGTGATACGCTAAAAATATAGGCTTCTCTTTTAAACTTACTGAGTCTATTATAGGGTCCGGGATTTTATTCGCAATATTTTACATATTTAATTTCCCATATCACTTATTCTGTCTTAAAGGTACGGTTTGTTAACAGAGACAGGCACACCTGTGCCCAAATGGCATGCATATAAGCCACAGAACAAAGAACATAAATAACATAACATATGGAACACCCTAACTTGACAACAGAATAAAACATGTCTAGCTCTTAGACTATATCTATGCAAAAAATTACAGTAATCCATTGTCCAGTACCTGTGTGATAAAATTCAAACACAGAAACGTACTTTTGCATTTAATTAAGTAGTCATTAAGTAAGTACATATTTATAAAATTTATTGAATTCTTGATGTAAATAGAATCAAAAAAAAATTATTCAACACATACCAGGTTCTTGAGAAACAACTTCGAAGTCATCTTTTTTACTAGCTTTTGCTCCCGACTTAGTCGCAGGCGCTGGCACGTTCTCTTCCACGTCGTAATCACTGTCGGAAGATTCATCATCAGATGTTTCATCGTTACTTTGTTTCCTTTTTGTACCAGCTTTTGTATTTGATCCTTGCTCAGTGTCACTCTTGACTTTCTTACCTAAAATATGGCATTTGATTCATTATTATATGCAAGTTATACTTAAAGGTAATAGAAAAAATATACACTTTTGTTAGTTTTATCCAAAAATACCATCTGTAAAATAAATATCATAAATGTGAAAGTTTGTGAGTATAGATGTTTGTTACTCTTTCACGCCAGAACGGCTGAACGGATGTGAATGAAATTTGGCACAGAGATAGATTATAGTCTGGAATAATACAAAGTCTACTTTTTATCCCGGAAAAGTGTACGGTTCCCGAGGGATAGATATGTTTTTGTTTTTCTAGAGGTGAACCCGAATGAAGCGAGGGTGATACACTAGTTGGTTATAAATAAAACATAACTAAAAGATTATTTCTTACCTTTTTCCCGATAACTTTCAGCTAACTTATCTAAGTCAACACCTTCATCTTCTTCCTCATCAATATCCTTAAAACTATCTTTCTGGAACCAAAGATCAGCTTTCATCGACCTCTTAGACACTGGGTCAGTATTATCCAAGTCTGTCAGTAATGGATTATTCTTCGGGATTGAAGGTGTTGATTTAATCTTAGCATTTCTTAATGTATTTAATTTTGTTATTTTATCAATTTTCTTTGACTCATTTTCTGAATCAGAGAATGCTGTAAAAATAATATAAAAGAATTGCTTCAATCATTAAGGAGGATATAAAGATATTAGATATCTTAAAGTAGTTATTGGACTATATAAAATTTACAAGTAAACATTATATAAAAAAATTTACAAAAAATATACTTTTGCTAAATTCAGACTAAATATTAGTATTATAGGTAATGTGTGTTTGAATTATTTAAAACAAGTTTACTCATTTTTCTTAATATCACAATCCAGAAGTAAAGTACTTGCTATTTAACCTCCAACTAAACAAAAAAACCTCAATCGAGCCATGAGCTTGTTGATAATAGTTAAAATATGTATATAATATATACCTAGTGGTTTTTAAATGGTTTAATTTTATTGTATGGAAAATAAATTAAAAAATTATAAAATATATTTCAGATTATTAACCAATTAATTTCATATTATGTTTAAATAATCTGAGTATCCTATTTACCTAAGGACTCCTTTTCGTTGTCACTTTCTAAATCAGATTCCATTTCTAGCTCACTATCCGAGTCCTTATAGTAAAGTCCAGATGAATCTAGCTTTGATTCTTCCACATCATACTTCATATATTTAGGTTTTGATTTTAACTCATCATCTGATTCCCCATCTCCATCTACTACAATGTCCGGTGCTTGGTCCACTATCATTTTTAATTGCTAAAATTAACAAAATTTTATATACATATATGTTATTGTATTAAAATAATAATTTCGAATTTTTTCTTTTCTTATAAAAGAGATTAATATATTTTCAGTTTCATTATTTTATTTAGTTCAATATTTACACAATTATATTTTTACAAATTATATACTATAGCATATGGATGTTATTTATGTTTACCTCATTATCCTTAATGTCAGCCAAAGTAAACATGTCATGACTCTCCAAGATGGGCCCATCATCACCTTTTAACACCATTTTAAGATTCATTTTTTCAGCCAATTTTTGTCGTTGCTTGTTTAACTGTTTTCTTTTCCGTCTTAGTTGCCTTCTTTCTTCATCCTAAAAAAATATATGGTATAAATAGTTATACTATATATTTTATCCATAGAGATAGAGTACAAAATGTTTTAATTTTCTAAATACATATTTAGATTTTAATTTACTAACCTGTAGTTCAGCTATTTCAGTATCCACCACATCATTTTCATCATCAGAACCCTCTTTGCTAGGTATTTCTTCATCTTCTGTCACAGATGGTACCTAGTAAAAAGTATATTTTTTGTATTTATTATTATTGGCAAATATTGTAATCCTAGCTATTGTTAATAATAAAAAAGTTATTAACATGATATAAAATAAAATTATCTACTTACAACAGAGGGGTTTTGCGAAGCTTTCCAGTCTTTAATATGTTTTAACCAACTCAATATTGCTTTGACATCTTTTCTTCCAAGGACTTTAATATCTTTGCAACATTCTTTTATTTCACTTGTAGTCCGTGGATGATCTACTACATCCTTGTCATCTAATATAATCTATAAAAATATTTATAAAAATTAAGTTTAAAATATTATTATTTATACAATAATTAAAAATTAAAAATGGTTAATATCTAGTCTGTTTTTTATACCTGAGAACATCCCTGAAGCAAGTCAATTGGATCATCTTTTACCAGTAGTTCCGATACAGAAATACCTTGATAAGTAGTATAATCATTTTCCTTGTATCCTTCAGCCTTAGCCTTCTTCTGTTTCTCAGGATGTAAGATATTGTTACGTTGTTTTTTTACTATTTCTAAATCTTCAAAGACATACTTTGGATCTAGTAATTTAGGATCTATACTGTCAGGAGCAATATATCCTTGACATACAACGAAAATTTCAGATGATTCATTACGAGAAGCTTGTGGCTTTGTAGCATGAACTTTTTTAAAGAACTGCTTTAATACCCACAATAGAGCATGATAATCTTTTGATCTAAATACCTTTGTAACAAACCAACCACCTTCTCTCAAAAAATGAGATGCTAGTTTCATAGCACTCAATGTAAGTGATGCTTGTTGATATGCATCATGAATCCAGTTTAGACCAACATTTGGTGCACCATCATGTAACACAACATCAGCTTTCCAGGTTTTTATTTCCTTCTTTATGGCTGTTTTACATTTTTCTGTTGTAATATCTTCGGTAAGGCTTATACAACCAGGAACTTGCTTTATAGGAAATAAATCTACACCTATAACTACACTGGAAACAGGCATATTCTGATGTGCCACCTGCATCCAACCACCGGGCGCTGCACACAAGTCGATGCATACTCTCGACTTTTGAAGAAATCCAAATTTTCTATTTAACTGAATGAGCTTAAACGCAGCTCGGGAACGATACCCTAAAATAATATTGTATTTTTTAAAACTTAGGTGCTTTTTTCACACTAAATGATTTTTTTATAAAACTAACCTGTCTCTTTTGCAAGCTGATAGTATTTATCTTTTCGCTGTTTTCCTACTTTTGTCTTCTTCCCCATGGTGCTATATGTTTAAACCATAAGGTGAATTTAACTAGTTTAAAATTAAATAATATACAAGTAATCTTGTAAGTGAATATTTAATGTTTTAAGATTCATGACAGAAAGTCCACAAGTCACAATGTTAATGTTTATTTTCTAGGTTATGTTTTTACTAATCAATTTTTTCTCATACTAGCAAGCAAAGGGTTTGATCTATACGTCCAATATTTATCGAAAAAATAAAAGCTTTAAAAAAAACAATTTTAATAATAAGTGTTAATTAAGATATAAAATAAATTCAATACATATTTATTATTTGAAAACTAATTCTAAAATTATATAATAGATAGAAGAACCCAATAAAAAAACAGCTTGGATCTAATTATACACTCGTGACCGTGTTACGTTACTATTGGCTAAAATATATTTACGGGTAATCGATATTAAATGCTACATCGATATTTAAAATAATTGTATTTTCATTTAGTATTATTTTTATTATTTGATCCAATGTATAAAATAATGTACACTAAAATTATATAATTTTATTACATATTTGAATATTTAGTTGTTTTATTTGCATGTAATAAGTACAGTATAGATTTTATTTATTTCATTTTAATGCTTTATTGGTATTATCAGTTCAATTTTATTCTTTCATAAAATAACTTGAAATACTAAAAAATATTTTATTTGGTCATAAATACCTATACTGTTTTATTTTTTTATTTTTAAACGATTATAATCGATAGTCATGTCGATTTAATATCGATTATAAAATGTTCTAGCAATTTACCACTCCAGTCCAATGTTCACTCACATTAGTCATTACGTACTCCATTTTATAAATTACGAGAAACACAATAGAAAGTGCATTTGTGTATTGAAAAATTTGTGATTACATTGCTTCATACAATAATAAATTTTACGCTGTTTATAAGGCATTGCGAATTGTGTGAAATTGAATACACGACGTAAATAAGCGATCTGCTGGTGTAAATTATCAAGATGACTCCAAATTTACAAACTTTCATAAATAGCTTCCAAAATCGTCTGTAAGTATTTTCTACTATAATCATAGTCTTTAAAAAGAAATTTATTGCTTCATGGAATATATTTATCATGTAGTAAATAAAGTACCTACATGAATTTGTTGTGATAGATTGATTCTGGAATGTTTTTAAATGCGTCATATATTTTTTGTTATATTTTTTTATGTAAACAATACGCTACTTCAATGTAATGTAATAATTTTACTATATTGAAGCATGACTTGCATATAAGTATATATTTTACACCATAAACGTACTAAATTATAAGTAAGTGTTTTATAATATGTTCTTTGAATATCACATAAACAAATAATTTAATGATAAAGGGAACCACCCGTACGTCAACATCTCAAAAATGTTTATGGGACACTTATGATGACCTGTGGAGCAGCTTCAGCTGGAGTGTATGTTGATATGTACACAAGGTTCCAGGCAGGATTGCTGTCAACAATTGTTGGTGCAGGTCTTATGTTAATGCTGATTGCTACACCTGATAATGGAAAAAACACTAAATTGAGACTTGGATATCTCCTAGGATTTGGTCTAACTTCAGGTAATTTTTCTAGGCAAATCTTTAATGACATTATTATTATGCCTTAAAAATAGTAATAGATTAGAAAACATAGTAAAAATTAATTCTCCACTTTTAAATATAGTATTGTACAGTGCACAGATAGTAAGATATTTGAATTTTTGGAGCATTGTGCCTATAAGATTGTAGATTAAAGATTTATTGCTCCATATGTTGCAAGTTTAAACTAAACCTACTAAAATGTGAAACTAAAAAGACAATTCATGAGAGTGAAGGTCATTCACATTTATTCTTACTTTGTATGAATTTATTTACACAATTCTCCTCAATAACATAATAACAAATCAAGCTGCCCCTCACCAACTTGCAATCCTGGGCTACAGTTGTGTAAATATTCCGCTGGGCATACAGCTGGAATTTTATTTTTATAGATATTCATTTATCTGTATAGTCAAGACAAAGATTTAATTTTAAGCCAACCTTAATTACCTATACCAGCCAGGCACTGACACTGAAATAAAACATAATTTTCTCTCATTTGTTATGTATGTTGTATTATTATATGATAGGATAGATAGGATAATATATGCCATGTCACACAATAAGCAGATTGAGAAAAACAATCTTGTTTTCTTTTAAAGAGATTTATAAATTTTGTTACTAAATGTAAAAAATATTTTTCAGGAATGGGTATGGGTCCTTTGTTGGAATATGTGAGCTTTGTTGATCCATCCATAATTGTCACAGCTCTATTGGGTACCACATTAGTATTTGTGTGTTTCTCTATTGCTGCCATGTTGGCTGAAAGAGGAAGTTGGCTGTTTTTGGGTGGCACTCTTATGACCTTGCTCACTTCCATGTCTCTGATGACTTTGGTTAACATCTTCATGCAGTCTCACTTGCTTTATCAAGTAAGTTATATTCATAAATATTTGATATACACAAAATTTTTAAATATCAACATAACAATATTTTCTATATTTCAGGCTCATTTGTACCTGGGACTGATGCTCATGTGTGGATTTGTTCTGTTCGACACTCAACTAATCATTGAGAAACGTAGAATGGGCAATAAAGACTTTGTGCAACATGCCCTGGAACTATTTATTGATTTCATTGGAATGTTGAGGAGACTTCTTATTATCTTAACACAAAAGGTACTATTAAAAATCTTTCAAAAAAATAATAAGACTAATTATAACATACAAATTTCATATGACAATTATATTTCTATTAAAACTAGCCAATCTCTATAACTAGTAATGTTCACATCACCCCTAAAATCTAAATTAGAATCAGAATTAGAAACATATTGAATTTGGTTTTATGAAAGTTCTACAGCCAATTTTTTTAGCAATATTGATGTTATGATAATTCTTTTTTTACTTCCAGGAGGAACAAAATCGCCGCCGCAAACGTGAATAAATTTATATTTGTTATTATAAATTAATCTAAAAAGTTTGGTGAAATTGATTAAATGTAACATGTAACTCATGCTTTATTTTTATCTTATGTTATGTGTTCAGAAATTTATAAATTTCATATAATTAAATAAATTAAAACACATTATTTGTTTTACTTATATTAAACCACCCACATGTTTGAGAATAAAAGTGATAAGTTAAGAGAATTTACGTGATAAGATAATATTATGATGTAAAGATACAGCTAGATAAAACATGAAAAATAGCCTATATGCCTTCTATTTACTTAAATTAAATAAATTACATAAATAGCATTTAAATTGATGTGGAAAATTTTACGATTTGGCCATTTGCTCAAACGCGTCCTTATGTAACTATACGACAATTTAATATCCAAGAAGACCCTGTCATCCTAGGATAAAAAACAGGCTTATTATGAATCATAAAATCTATACATAAAATTGTATCAGAATGAGATATTTTTCCGCGGTAAAAAATACCCTTTATGTTGGCCCGGATAACCAGCTATCACCATACCAAATTTCATTAAAATCCCTCAAGTGGTTTTTCTGTGATGCGGTAACAGACAGACAGACAAAAATTCTAAAAACTAGATTCGGCCTCTATCGATAATGTCTATTTAAATAAGATTTTCAAAAAATATTTAATGTACAGATTCGGCTTAGTTAAATTATATTTTAAGTATAGAAGAGGGTTTGGGTAGTTACTCTTTATTTGCCGACTGCGGCGAAGCGCAAAGGACGGTTATGTGTTTGACCTGTAGATATGTCCGACTACTAAACGGCTTAACAGATTTTGATGATTCATACGTCATTCGATTCGTCTAGATTCTTGTTAACGCGAGTGTCATACGGTATGTCGACATCATGGATGACAAAAAGATCAAAATGGCGGATCCTAGATGACAATTTGCGGCTTGAAAATTTTTTTTCATCTGAAAAATCGAGTGGGCTATCAAAATACAGGTTTTTCAAGAAAACAAATTGACGAAAGAAAATAGTACCTATTATGCAGTCGGAGACATAAGTACATAATAAATGTACGTTTCAGTAGCTGTGTGTTATATAATATTATATATAGGTATATATTAATAGTTGTTTTTCTTTTTATAAATAATTTTTTACTATACGATTATTTGAACTTCGTGGAATAAGATAAATATAATAGTTGAAATCTCATTATTTTTGCGTAAGTACTATAATTATACTAATGGCGACTTATTCATAATATACCTACTATTTTGAGTAGAATAATAATTATAATTGTAACATAGAATGATGATAATTTATTGAGCAGTCTAGAACTAAGTAGTTCTAGAACTAAGAAGTTACGGAATTGTAACTTCCGGTAGGCCGACGTCTACACCCGACTTTAATAAATTTATACAGGTTTTGCTTAAAATGTAATATAGAATAACTCTTGAGGTATTAATAATGATTGTTTATATATACATAAAAACATACAACTGAGCTGGGCAACTATTGTTTATTATATAACGGCTATTTGTGCTAGGAGGAACTGGAACATATTTTGATTTGAGTATAGATTGACAAATCACTTTTGTTTCTTTAGCTTTGTATAACTTCCTTTAGCTATCCCATGTAAAGTAAATGGCCTGTAATTTATAACATGTAATGATTTTAATAAAAAGAACGAATAAAGTTTATTACTTTATTTTATTTTAAATAAATAGATAATAAAATAAATCCTCAATAAATTTATGCAGAAAAGTAAGGCACTTGTTTCAACATAGATACCGACATCATAAAAAATCTTATAATAAATGTGATCCTATATGTAGGACGGACTTATTAGGTCTTACAATTAGCTAGAATGTTTTTGTTCATCAGGGTGTATTTTATTATTTTCATATAAAAAAATCTTCTTAGCTTTGTTTATTTCATCATTAATTAAAGTATTTATTAAATTTTTCATGGTTGGTTGATTTTCTTGTTCTCGAGATATATTTTGTCTACCGTTTCCCTCTTCACTAGATCTTACTTTATTTTGATTGATTAAGTAGAGCCTTTTAGTTTTGGTCCTGCAACAGCGAAATCTCATAGAATTATCATTCCTGTTCGAATTCTTCATTATATATTCATAAGTAGAAATGTCTAAAACTGATATATAGATATGAAAACATAACAAATGCAATAATGCACATGCAATAGCTAATCCACTTATACAAAATGTGACTAGAAAAGTTAAAAATAATATTGAGTTCCTACAATATTTTGAAACTTCATTATCAGCTGTTTGAGTACAATTAATAAAATTAAGTGCTGCAGAACTAAATTCATTCGAATCTTTAAAAAACAGAACAATATCTGTTAAACATAGTATCGAGGTAAATAGTGATATCAACAAGGCAGAAACAACGCATATTATGAAGGCTATATAATTTCGTCGTCCGATACAATTATTTAGCCATTTACAGTGATGATCGAAATGATAAACGCATTTATTGCATATGCCACAATGCTTAGTTTTCTTATCAGTAGTGTTTATATTACATAGGTGACATCTTCCATTTTCGATAACGTGGGCGTGGATTGTGCGGTCGAACTCGGGGACAGTGTTAACTTCTTGTTTTCTCAAATCACTTTCACTTGGATCCAACAACAGAGCAGCTAGATGTGATACGACGTGAAATATGTATAATAAACTAAATATTCCAATTGATGCCAATTTTAAGTCGTCAAATTGTATTTGAATTAATAAAACAAAGTTGAGTAATGTTGTTATAACAAACACCATCCATCCTAGAACTTGGAGGTAGTTTAAAGGCAGCTGTAGTCCATGTATCCTCCTTTGAGGTCTCTGCGTTTGATGAGAGGTACAACATTTGTGCATTTAAATTAAAAAAAGAGCACTGTCTTGTCTTTGTTGCCTTATCACTGCGAAAACCAAACAAACTTTTTAGATATGCGCGCGCAACGGAATACTTAGTAATAGATGAATAGAGAGGCACAATATATAAATATATAATATCCATTGTTTCTATTTCTACGCGACCTGGCCTTTGTATAAGTAGGTACCTACCGGTTAACATTGTAGGTAGATTACCAGCACATAGTAATGCGAAATTAAAAATATTAATCTTTAGAGTTGAGTTGTCCTATAAAATGGGTCATGGTAAAACTAGATTTTGTAGTTTTGTTTTGCTCATACGTAATTTCGTAATGCTAACATTACTTAATTCGTCATAGCGCCATCTTAATTTATGGATTCATTCTTTGCGCCATAAGAAATCTAAGTTTTAACTTTATTATTAAATATTTATCTATGGTTTAAACACGTATATTCAGGGGACCGGGATGACATGGTTATTGGTTAATGTATATACATATTGAAACCACCCGCATGGTTGTTTTAAATTAGCCCAATGGTCAAAGTTAGCAGGAGTTTCGTAATAGCCACAACCCATTCTCCGACATCCCATATCTATACTAATATTATGAAGATACAGTTTGTTTGTTTGATTGAACGCGTTAACCACAGGTACTACTAATCTGATTTGTAAAATTCTTTTTGCATTACATAGCCCGTTTATTTAGGATTAAGGCTAGGTATAGGCTATATATCATCATGCAACTACCCAAGGGAGCGGAGCAGTAACCATAAATGTCAACAAATCGGGCAGACTTCCATACATTATTGTAAAACTGATGTTTATGTTTAGTGATTTAAGCTCCGAAACTTTGGTCGTCGTGTAGAGGATAGGTATATGAAATAAGCAATTATGTATAATCAAATTTAACGTGAGTGAAACCGCGGGGCACAGCTGTATGATATAAAGTGGGAATATGTGTAGTAGTCGTGGACTAAATCTATACATATAATAAAATTGTAACTAAGCCGAATCTGTACATTAAATATTTTTTTGAAAAACTTATTCAAATAAACATTATTATCGATACAGAGGTCGAATCTATAGTTATTAGATTTTTTGTGTCTGTCTGTCTGTTACCGCATCACAGAAAAACCACTGGAGGGATTTTGATGAAATTTGGTATGGTGATAGCTGGATATCCGGGTCAACATATAGGATACTTTTTACCGCGGGAAAATGTCTCATTTCTGAGAAAAAATACAAAAACTGCAATATAAGAGTATACTAATATGTAAAACCTAAGAATTTGGTTTTTGGTCATCTGAACGCGGGCGGAGCCGCCGGCAATGTTTGTAAAAATATACACGTAAAGATATTTGTTAAGTCTCTGAATTTGATCTCAAAAAAAATATGTATGTAAAAATATATCTTTATAATTTTTATTTTAACAGAAATATATACATTGATGATTATTATACATAACATAAATAATTAGGTAACATCTATATGTTTTCAATTCTGTCCAAAGCAAATTTTTTTGCCATTTCTCGCCTTGTGTGTACTAATATTCTGTGTCCTTTACAATCTAAATCTTCTTCAAAACATTTATTTCTGCAACATTTCTTGCATAGCTGATATACACATTTTCCTCCCTAGAAATATATAACATAATCATTAAAATAAATTAAATTAGTATATATAAAATGAATTATATCTATACTTATAAATTATAATATTAAAAAGAGGCAGAGTTTGTTTGAACGCGCTAATCTCAGGAACTACTAATCGGATTTGAAAAATTCTTTTTGCATTCGATAGCCCGTTTATTGAGGAAGATTATAGGTTATATATCATGCTACTACCCAAGGGAGCGGAGCAGTAATGTAATATATAGTCTACTAATCCATACTAACCATTAAAACATACCAATACGGCTAGCTCACACTCGCTTTGCTCGGGTTCGTCCCTAGTTCATTTATAAACATCAAAACATATTTATTAAATACTAGCAAAACCTGCGGTTTCGATCGCGCTAAAACTACAAAAAAAAACTATTTTATTCTATTAGTAATAATGTATAGAAGTCTGCTCGATTTGCTGACATTTATGGTTACTGGTCAAATAAACTCTGCCTCTTTTAATATTATTATAGATTACTAAACCTCTAATTGAGTAATTTAGTAATATTTATTAAATTACATAATATATACCTTGTGTCCCTTATAGACTGATAAATTATAAAGCTAAACTAGCTAAACATTATGAATGTGATTACCACTTAATGATACAGTGAAGGAAAGATTATGAGAAAATGTGCATATCTAAATGAATCTAATTTTTTAAATACATGTGTTCGCCTATCAGTGTGGGACCAGATTAAAGTCTAAATCCTTATACTCTTTACATTGCGCTGAGCGGAAAACAGTGGTGAACCTAGTATTAGGAGTATCGTTTCTATTAAAACAGAGTCTACGAATGTAGTTTCGCTACACAAATACTATATGACCAATTTATGTAAATTATAAATATATGATTCAAAATTATCTTACTAGAGGATTAGGACAATTTTCATTAACACAAATATTCCCAGACCGGCTAGATTTTAGGTCTAAATCAGATCTAGCTGGCCGTCTTAATATCCTCCTCATTTTCTTCATTTTCTTTCTGGACATTATATTACCATCAGTATCCTCAAGTGTTCGTTTTACATCATTATTGTTATCCTTAAACAAAGAGTTTTTTTTAATATTAGGTCCTTATATATGAAATTGGCGTTTTGTCGAACTGGCCACTATGATCTCAAATATTTGGTGTTTAGTTAGAAATTCCAAATTCAAATTTGTATTTTATTCAGTCCTTTTTAACGTCTCACTGCTGGACACGGACCTCCCTTCAATACGAGGAGGATCAGGCCATAGTCCACCTCGCTGGCCAAAGGCGGGTTGGCGGACTTCGAACAAAAAAACTCAAAATATCAAAACTTAAAATAAAAAACAACTAACTTAAAATATCGCGGGAAACTAAAAATATCGCGTTATTTAAGAATACGGGTTCCACCATGGCACCAGCGCTGCAGAAACAGCTCAAAGGATTTATGATGTGTGTGGAGAAGCTACTATAAAAAAAACACGGTACGTTTATGATTCCAACGTTTTTGTTCTGGAAATTTTGACCTATAGAACAAACGGCCGGAGACCCCCCCAGTTGAAAATGAAGAATTAAAAGTGATCATGGAAGCAGATCCATTGCAAACCACGTTTTTACCAGAGTTAGCGGCAAGATTCCGTGTGAGTGAGAAAATAATTTTAATTCACTTGAAACAAATTAGAAAAGTGAAAAAGCTCTAATAGTGGGTACCACATGAATTGAGTAAAGCACACCAATAAACAAGCGTCAAGTGCTGCGTTACATTACTTAATCGTCACAATAATGAGAGGATTTTGAGTCGTATGTCACTTGTGATGAAAAATGGATCCTGTACAATAATCAGAAACGCTCATTACAATGGTTGAACCCAGGAGAACAGGTCAAATCCTGCACCAACTGGTTCCTAAGATCCTGCCAGACGATTACGGTAGATCTGTATTGTCAACAATTGCAAACCATGATGGAAAAGCTAGCGTTATATAACCTAGGCTGGTCGATTACTCTAGCCCACTGCTGCTTCAGGACAACGCTAGACCACACACTACACAACAGACGGTCGCTAAATTAGAGGAAGTGGTATTGGTATGTCTCTGACACCCATTATACTCTCCGGATCGCGCTCCAACAAAATACCACTTTTTCCGAAATTTGGATAATTTCTTGCCAGAAAAAATTTCAATTCCGATGAGGCAGTCAAAACCGCCTTCAGAGATTTTATTGATTCTCGCTCCCACAATATTTTCAGCAAAGGAATGAATGAATTACCTATAAAATGGCGAAAGTGCATAGATAACAATGGTACATACATTGATTGAATATATCGACGGGTGAAAGGCTATTTGGTTTAAGCGACATTTGCTTAATTTTACAGGAGAGCCAATTTAATGTTTTTTTGAAAAAAAAAAACATTAAATTGGCTCTCCTGTAAAGTTAAGAAAATGTTGCTTAAACCAAATAGCCTTTCACGATTTTTTTTCAAAAACAAATCGTTATATTGGCTCTCCTGTAAAGTTAAGAAAATGTTGCTTAAACCAAATAGCCTTTCACCCGTCGATATAATATCATAATCCTTTTTTCGTTTTGCTTTTTCCATATAAAACACCAATGTCATATGTAAGGACCAATACTATTCTCATATCAAAATTGCTTATTTAAAAGTTGCATTAAAACTCTTAGCCTGATTTTTTTAAATGTAATAAGAGATTATTTACTTAAACCTTATGTTATCCTTTATATTTAAAGTAGGAATTTGCTACAAGGCTATTGGAAGAATGAAAATTAGAAGAATATTTTAATTCTTAAAATATTCTTTAATGAAAATGATCAGAACAGAGAAAAACAGAATGATGAAAATAATACCTGTTTTTGATTAAATTTTTCCATCTTTTGAGTATGCTCTTCAGGAGACATTCTCACATAAGGCTGGCATAACCATGGAGGCAAAATTAAATCAAAGCCATTCCTACTAATACCTTCATTATTTTCAAGTTGTAATTTTCCTTCATGATACAATAAATATTTTTCTTTTATTTTTATGCAAACTTGCTTAAAATCATCCAAGTTTTGAGCTGTCGCCAAAAGTTGTCTTTCTTCATTGTTACTTTCAATTGTAAAACTAAAAAAGTTAAACATATTTAGTAAAAGATTTATATTACTATTTAATTTTAAATTAACAAAATGTATCATATAACTTACATTTTATGAAATATTTTAAATAAATGGCCTCTTATATATGAAGAAGGGCATGGATATTGTTCTACTAGTTCTAAATATTCTAATGCAATTTCCCATGTTACTGCATTTATACCTTCAAAAATTGCAGGATTAGTAAGGTTACCTTCAGCACTCATAACCCCATCTACTTTTGTATAATCTATGCACCTATATACATCTTGCAAGCATTGGATGTTGCCATTTGCAAACATTGGTATAGAGACTGCTTCTCTGAAATCAATATTGAAATAATTAGATAAAGTTGAATAATATATAAATTTTCTTTTTTTGTTATTTGAGCATATGAACTAACCTAATAGCTTTAATATGCTGCCAACTAGCTATACCTGTCAGTGGTCCTTTTTGCTCTCTTGTCCTTCCATGAACAGTCAGTAGCTTACAGCCTGCTTTTTGTAACATTAATGCATACTGAACAGATTTCTCTATACTTTCAAAAATCCTTACTTTACATGTTATAGGCACTGAAACTGCTTGAGTCATTGTAGTCACTAAAATGAAAGCATATTTCATACATTACATATGATGTAGTTAAAGAAGTTAGAATTTAATAAAGAATAGATATTTTTACTAACCAATTTGTTGTAGTAATATCCAATCATCTTGTAGGAAAGAACCATAATGGCCCCGTTTTGCTATTGATTGAGGGCATCCAAGATTTATATCAATAGCATCACAATCAGTTTCTACAAATTTCGCTGCAGCAGCCATTGTATCGGGATTGTTACCACAGAACTGTCCAAAAAATTATAAAATTAGTTTGAAACATACTAAAATATTTTTTAGTTTATATCTACATAAATAATAAAATAAAATACCTGGACGATCAATGGCCGATCTTTGTTACATGTAGTAAAGTTTTCTTTTCTATATTTGGGATCTTTAGTAAAAACTGTACTATGAAGCATAGGTGTGTAACATAATGTGGCACCATGTCGTCTACAAAGAAGTCTCCAAGCCAGCTCACTAGCGTCGACCATAGGAGCGACTACAAAACATGGCCTCTTAATACGATCAAACCATTCAGAATGCATTTTATTTAAAATTCTATGTTTAAAATAAACTGTTTACAACAGTTCACAACAATGAACCCCGCATAACCTTTTTTTGTCAATATGACATAATGACTTATGACAGTAGTGAGTACATAGTGCCTTGTGGTACTAGGTAGGTACTCAGCATGGATGACAAATAAAAATGGTAGTCAGTAGTCACTAGTCATAGTTAGAGAAAATAGCTATTAGATTTATTTGACGATCACAACCATAGACCAGCAGGGCTATTGCGTATCTCAATTGACAGTTCATAGTGAAGATCACTAGACTTAATGCTCAACGATGAACTGTCAAACAGCTAGTTTCGTATTGGCTAACGTCAGTGACCAACTGGGATGATGTCATAGGCACCGAGCCTCATTGATAGTCACCGTAACATATTTTGACAAGTGTTTATGTATCGATAAAGTTTAAGTTGCGATTCTGTAAGCATAGTTGACATCATATTAATAGTCATTAGACACTATCCACTTTTTTTGAAAAACACTACTCAAGAGCAGTGTTTTACGGATTCAAGGTGATTATCACTGTAATTTTAATACATACACTTTGTGTACTTGCTACTCGGAACATTAGGCTACATGGATTTGTACACTGTGTGGAATTGTTTTTTTATGTTTTTCTTTGTTATTAAGTAAGACAAACTATTATTTATTATATTTTTTTTATTTCTTTGTTATAAGTAAATTTGTGAACATAATGGCGCGCGCTTTCTTATTGGGATATGCGGAAGAAGAACGTAGACGTAATGTTCTACGAATTGAAAGACGCCGTCTGCGTGACGCTAGTGATCCATTGCAGTTGCCAGAGAGAGAGTTCATTGGACATTTTCGTTTAACAAAACTTGGATTCCAACAGGTTTTGGTGGAACTTAGTTCTCATCTACCATTAGTTAGACGAAATACAGGTGTTCGCAATGAACTCAAAGTAAGTAACACTGTTCATTTACTTTGACCTGTCATTTGCTTTTCAAGATTAGGTATTTGATATCCACTTGTAAATTTATATTTTCATTTACATTGTTACTATAACTGACTGATGATGACTTTGTTTGTCTTTCTATTGTAGATTTTAGCAGCATTAAATTTTTATGCAAATGGATCCTACCAACGGAATGTAGGTGCATCATTTCTACTGAACATGTCACAACCAACATTCAGTAAATGTCTACATGAGGTAACTGGTGCACTCAATACCTGCGAAATCCTTAGGAAGTACATAAAGTTTCCTATGACACAGCATGAAAGGGAAATAATTATGAAAGAGTAAGTTTAAATTTAAATAGTGTTACAATAATTATGTACTTAGTAGATACATACCTACCCAAGTAGCCTAAAACTTTGAATTGTTTTTTTTTCAGTTTTATGGAGAAATTTGGATTTCCAGGTGTTATAGGTTGCATTGATGGTACACATGTGGCTTTAATCCGTCCTAAGGAGCATGAGGAGGCTTATTTTAATAGAAAGAATTACCATTCTTTGAATGTTTTACTAGTAAGTGTATTATAATTAGTATTGTAAAGTATAGCAATACATAGCATTAAAATAAAAGATTGTTCCAGTAGTGAGTTTGTACCTGCACAATTTAATAGAACAAACTTTGTTTTGATTTCAGATTTGTGATGCTAAACTAACCATCCTCCATGTTGATGCATCATTTGGTGGTGCATCTCATGATTCATATGTTTGGAATCAATGTGTAATAAAAGCATTTTTAGAAGGATTAGAAAGAAATGGAGAGCGCCTTTGGCTGTTAGGTATGCATATGCAACTTGTATAATAGGGTACAGATTAAATACAGACAATCATTTTGATAGAAAAAAATATATATTACACATTAGACAGTAATTTATCTGATAGTAGGTACTATGTTAAAATTAATTTCTATTTGTAGGTGATTCTGGATATGCTCAACGCCCCTGGATGATGACTCCAATCATAGGTGCAGCTCCGGGATCACCAGAAGAGTATTATACAGACCTTCATTGTCGGGTCAGAAATACTGTGGAGCGGTGTATTGGAGTACTTAAATCACGTTGGCGGTTTTTGCTAGCACACAGGGTACTTCACTACGACCCAGTTACCACTGGCAAGATAGTGAATGCTGTGTCGTCCTGCACAATATAGCCAATGCACAAAATATTCCAATACCTGACCCACAGGATGGTGACCTTGACAATGACCAACAGCACCAACTTTGCATACAGGGAAGGACTGATGCCCCTCTAGATGAAAGTAGGCTTATATTAATTAATAGGATTTGGAATGCTAGAAATATTTTGTGATTATAATTTTTTTTAATATAGTTTTGATTGAAATACAAATAGCCTTTATTTCTGATAAAAAATAAAATACATTTTGACAATTATTATCATTTTACAATATTATCATGCTATAAAATTAAAATTATTACTTATTATTATATAAAAATAGTCTTAATTATAATTATATTAAATATAATTAAATTTTATACTTATATTTTCAATACTACATCATTTTATAACTCTGCCTACTATATATATATATATATTATCATGCTGCTAGTTGAAATTATTACTAAATACTAATTATTATTATTAGGTATTTTTAATAGATTTAATTATATCAATTTGTTACTTATACTTTTTTTCTTTATATAATTTTACAACATTATCATGCTGCTAATTTAAATTATTGGTGATTATTGTTTATTATATAACAATAGTTTTAATTATATTTAATTCAATTTTACACTTATAATTTCAAATATAATAATGTAAAATAATGGTTTCATATATTATTTAATTGTAATAATTTAAATACTATTTTATTTAACATCATTGTATAGTCCTGTCTACTACAAAGTCACTTAACAATATTATTGCATGCTAATTTGAATCAAAATGAACACACATAAAAATTTATCAAAATTGGCCCAGCCGTTTAGAAGTAGTTCATTCACATGTGTATGTGACTGAGCTTCTCCTAAACGGCTGGGCCGATTTCCTGTGTACGAACAGAGGAATTATATATAAAAAGATAATAATACTTTTAATTATTTTTAATTCAAAGTGTATTCTTAAGTTTAATTATATTTTTAATTTATTTGTTTGATGTCATCCTCATACTATTTACTATAGATATTATTTATTAGTTACATTAGGCAAGATATGTAGTTATTTACATTTAAAACTAGATTAATTATGTTAAAATGTTAAATAAAAATGTAAGTTTTAGTTTTTATTATATGTTTAAGGCTTCTCTTGATGTCTTGATGACTCTGTAAAAGATATTTTTTTATATAAAAAGTTGAAACAGACTCAGAATATAGCAGTAAGTGTATTATTAAAGTTAGAATTAGCATGTATATTTAGTCTTAAATTAATTGTAGGTATAATATTATTATTAATAACTATTTCAAAAAATATATGTTTATACCTAAGATATGGCAACATTTTATTTCCCTCATTAACTCCACCATGGCCTCCAATGCGGATGCAATGCGTTCCTCAACAGCAATGCGTCTTTCCTCCAAGTCGTAGGCCCATCGTGGCACTCGCTCATCTCGACGTACTGAAAAGTATTATTTAACATTAATGTAACTTACATAAGTGGATAATAACATCGAAAAATTAGTACTTACTTTGACTACGTGATGTCGACCTTTGGGTAGGCAGTGTCGTGTGCACGGGAGGCCCTGAAATAATTATAATTTCATATAAAATGTAATACAAGCAGAAGGTTGTGAAAGCCAATGTTTATGCCATTTATTTATTCATACTTACTTTCTTCTCTTGGTGATGCAACTTCAGGTGGATTGACTGACTGTATAGTATGTGTGGCTGGGGCAGGGTGCTCTGTGGCTGGGGCAGGGGGCTCTGTGTCTGGGAGAAGTGGGCTCTGTGTCTGGGAGAAGTGGGTTTGAGGATGAAGGCTCAGAGAATGGAACTCCTAATGGAAATGGAACTTCTTCTTCAAGCCATTCCACATCCATTGGAGGTTCTGGAGATATAATATCGGAACAAGGAGCTGAGGAATGTGGCATAGGTGAAGCTGTACTGGGGCTGGCTGGTACAGCCTCTGAGGTACCTGGAGGCTGAGTCCCTTCTGCTGTAGGTATCTGTAAAATGTTTGAAATTTTATTTGATACCTACTTATTATTATAAATTATAATAATTTAACATTATAGCACTACTTAGAACTTAATTTAAGATTAGTTAATACATAAATTAGTAATATCAATTATAATACTTTAATAACTTACATCAAGAGGCAGGCGCACACCAGGCAAACCCTCCACCGCTACCGTACCAATTATTGCCAGCACTCGTTCTTCTGTATCAGTAAGAGGAACGAGTTTGTTAGGCCCTCCACCAGTTGCTGAGGCATTCCTTCTAGAGTCTGCTGCTTTGGATTTCGTTTTCGCCTTAAACTCTATCCAATACTGGATTGTAAAAAATAAGACATTTTAATGCATGACAATAATAGAAAAATCTTAAAAAGGTGCATAAGTACCTTTACCCAGTTGGGTGACAAAAACAACCAACCCTTATAAGTGTAAGGATTTATGTATTTTGTAATAACATTTGACATGTTGTCAAGATGTTTAGTTTTTTCTGATTCTGAGTTTTTGGGGTCTTTATTTTCGAGCTTTTTTTTGAATGAATGCCAATTAATGATGCCACTTAAATATTTGAAAGAATAAACACCAAGGGAGATACATGGGATTATATTATAGATGACAAATTATGCATTAGTATTTTTTAGTATAAGATAGTAATTGAAAACTTACGCGACGCCACTGGTCTGCCGTTTTTGTGGAACCTTCCGCTATAGCATTTAATTTGTTGGCTACTGAAACCCAAGCTTGCCGGGTAGCCTGATGGGCTAGTGGTCCGCCTGTTAAGCGACCTAAAGCTATGTCGCTATTCGACTCTGCAAACTCTAGAAGTATATCCATTTGCCTCGGGGATATTTTTCTTCTTACAGGCATCTAAAAAATGATAAAGTTAAATTAAGTAAAAATTGTTTATTTTTACCTTATTTACTCAAAAAGTAACTGCAATCAAGCACATACTTAAAATACAAGAAAAAGTTAAACAAAATAGAAATTGAAATATTTTATTGTTAGATAGTACAATTTGTATTGTTTATAATAACAACGCACAGCCAATTAATCGATCACTGTATTGATTTATACTTACTTTGAGAAAAAAACACTACTATTTTCTTAATTAAACTTACACGTATACGATATTAATTAATTAGTTATAATGTAAAATTGAAAACGTCTGTTTGGGACGGAGTTTTGTTTGCTTAAGTATTCGGGATGGGACAGCTGTATTAAAACAACTGTCTACGTCCAAAAGACTCTTGCAACTAACTTTCTTTCATATTAACAAATAACAAGTTACCTATTTATATTATAAGTGTGCGGAAATGTGTGTGGCAGATGTGCTTGGTCTCAGCGGCCGCTTCGACCCTTAGGTTATTATAGTTTTATATATGCATTGTTACATTGAGCAATGCCTTCTGAAAAGGATATCTAAAACAAAAGAACCTTCCGAGAAGGATATTTAACAGACTACTTTCTAAAATATGTGAACCATTGGGTTAATAACTCTTCAAATAAAATTTTACAAATTAATTTGGCGCCGGGGTTCGCTAATCACCGAACTTTCAAGTGTATAAGCCGTATAAAATAAAATTTCGTAAAATGAGCCACAAACCATGTTTATAATGTCCTATTTGACTTAGCCGCATAATATCGATAAAAACTAGGGTCGCTCAAGTGGCGTGCTGAAAGGCACCGTAGAGCACCGTAAGCTCAAATCCACTCGATACGATACGAATTATTATTGTCATATAAATTTTCGTGAAACTTTAAGTACTGGTATTCAACAAAATATCTAGCTGCGCCATAACTTTTTTTTCAAATAGGTACTCATCTTTACTCTTTAAAACAAACAAGTTACTCTTTGGCTTAACTAGTTATTTCTATGATGCAGGACAAACTGGTTTAAGCTAAGCTTGATAGGCATTACGTTACAAATTATTATTGTCATATAAATTTTCGTGAAACTTTAAGTACTGGTATTCAACAAAATATCTAGCTGCGCCATAACTTTTTTTTCAAATAGGTACTCATCTTTACTCTTTAAAACAAACAAGTTACTCTTTGG